CTGTCATTTCTGCACTGACTGACTGTAGCTGCAGAAGCTGCTGCACCAGAGACGGATGTCAAAAAGACACCAGCTGCTCCCCAGGCTGCCGCCCGCCTGCCTGAGATTCGCCTGGTTGTGCTGGGATGGAGGTGGCCGGGGAAGAGCTTGACAGCCAACACCATCATCGGCAAGGAGGAGTTTCGCCTGGAGCGGGCGGCCGAGTTTTGTGTGAAGAGGGAGACGGAGGTGGATGGGCGGCAGGTGATMGTGGTGGACACCCCGGGCTGGTTCTCTGCTCAGGATACGCCCCCCTCGTACAAAGAGGAACTACTCCGAGGACCCTCTCTTTGCCCCCCGGGTCCTCACGCCTTCTTGCTGATCATCCCCGTGGGCATGTTCACCGAGGTGGACCGTGGACGCATCGAGGAGCACGTCAGTCTCTTTGGCGAGCRGGTTTGGAGGCACACCATCGTGGTGTTCACCTGGGCGGAGGTCTTGAGGACCATTTCCATCGAGAGGTACATCCGCAGGGAGGGCAAAGAACTGCAGTGGGTGCTGGAGAAATGCAAGAAACGCTACTTTGTTATTAACAACTGTGCATTTGGGGAGAATCCCCAGGTGGGACGCTTAATGGAAAAGGTGGAGAAGCTGGTGGCACTGGAGGGTCTATATAGTCCAGAAGAGGTGAAGAAACCTCTGGATGTGAACCAGAACGCAGCTAGAGATGTGCAGGATCTGGGGGCCCGACCTAAACAGAACTCTGGACTGGGTTTATGAAAGGCCCACAGTGAGAGATGACTTCCTGCTGGTTCTTTTAAAGTAAAGTCCTGACTGCGTTTCTRTAAATGAGAAATACGTTTTAAACATCAAATCAGTTTTTAATGATGAATATTTCTATCTTATCGATGACACTCCTCGTCGTTTATATGTAAAACACACGAACATCCAGAGAATTATCAGCTGGCTCTACACTTCTTTCAGTTTGAAGCTGTTTTTTTTTTCTTTTTTTAAAAAAATTTTGTAATATAAACAAATTATAAAAAAAAGTCCAGATTAATTTAAAAGTTTTCTTGTCTTCAAGTTACACGACACACACAAATGTTACGTCACAGACTTTGATTAATCATTTCTGTTTTCAGGGAAATGTTGTCCTTTCCTTACAAGGTTGAGACACATTTTCTGAGGTTTTCTTAAGTTAATATATTTTATAACACACTTTTGTCATAATACCACAAAGTAGGACAGCAGTTTTTTATGCCTCTTCTTAATGATCTTTCATACAACTTCAGGATATCCAGCAGATTTTGACAGAAAGTGGCAAATTAGTTTCAACTTTGTCACTATTCAGGGTGTAAAAGAAATAATAAAGTAACAGTAGGGTAGCACTTTATTAATTTTCCCTTTTATATAATAATTTAACTGCTTAGTAAAATTTGCTGTTAATAGCACAACAACGATAAATTCAGGATGTTTTGTGGAGATAAAAGGGAGAAATGGGAATGAGAAAACTTGAATTCCTCTAAATGGAAAAAGTTTTGAACCGAAAAGCTCCAAACTTTAGTTAATGTTGACATCAATGAAATTCTTTATATGCTCAAACACAAAAAGTTTTTTTATTTCTTCACATATCCCTTCCCCCTTTTTAGGGAAGTGAGATCATGAGACTTCACACAGAAACCTTTTAGTGTTACTCATTCTCTGAATTTTTTTTTTTTTTTTTTTTTTTTTTT